GAAGTTTTTTTTAACATTTTTTTTTTTTTTTTTTTTTTTTTTTTTTTTTGAGAGGGCTGTACTTATTGGGTGAAGTGCCAATTCAAAAAAAAAATGCTAACCTCTGGCTACCAGACCCGCCTGGGGAACCCAGGCAAGTCATTTTGGAAGTTTTTTTTTTTTTTAGCGACCGCTGGGGCATTTCGGCGCCCACTGAATACTGCTGAAATCCACTGTCTTTTTTTTTTTTGCAGTTTGTCTGTATGTGTGTGGGGGGGGGCGGGGTTGGGGGCCAGGGGAGGGGTGCAAGTTCGGGATTTCATGACTCTCAGCAGTTGAAAACGCTTCAATCTTCATTTGCGTCTTTTTTGGGAACGGAATTCACGAATGTTTGTCCTTTTTTGGCATGCTCATGGGTGCCCTTTCCCGTCTCATTGTGACCACGTCATTTCTCCTGGCCAACCCAAGAATCGTTGTCACAGATGGCTCAAGGCATACTCACACTCGAACGGCTCAATGTATCTGAATGCAATTATGACCTGAAGTGGATCCATCTGGCCGCAATCCCGTGGCCGCAATCCCGTCCAGATCTGGGGGTCAACCCGGCCTAGATTGGGGGAGGCGAAGTCCGGAAGATGGACGATGGATGAAACTAGAGGGAGACTGGGGGGAAATGAGGTAGGCTAGTCGGTGGGAAAGCTGCGGGAGTTGAGGGGAAAGTAGGGGAAGGAGGCGAAGAGCTGAAGGAAACAAGGAGATGCAGCCCGGGGGGGGGGAGGAATGGAAAGGGGCACTGCCACAGCACCTTTCTCTCCTGAGGACGGGGAAGGTGAAGCATGCAGGGGCAAGGGGAAGGGGAAAGGGAGACTGCCACAACACCCTCTCTCCCAAGCAAGTGGAAGGGGAAGGGCAAGGGGAAGCTTAAATCAGTCCGCCTCGGTCGTGTGCTTTTTGTGGATCGGTTTATTACTTTATACTAGTTTATAGCGAACATGACAGCACACACAACAAACACCCTGAAAAGAAAAAAAGGTGTGTGCACATTGCAGACCGAGGAAGTATATCTTATTCTTTTTTGTTTTATTTTTTATTTCCAATTTAAAAACGAATTTTGGAATTACCCTCAGCCGAAAGTTGTTTGGTTTTCCACCCTACGCGATGTAGTTTTTTTTTCGGATTTTTTTTTTTTTTTTTTTTTTTTTTTTTTTTTTTTTTGTGCCAATAAGGCGATGTAGTTTTTTTTTCGGATTTTTATTTTTTTAATCTTTTTTTTTTTTTTTTTTTTTGTGCCAATAAGCTTGGGGCAGGTCCTGGGCGGCCCGCATGGCCGGGCCTTCCGGGCGGGTCCCATGCGGGATGGACCCTAGCCGTGCCGCCCGGCTGGTAGCCTAGCTCTTTACATTATTTCTAAATTGTTTTCAAGCTACAAAGTTTTTCATGCTCTTCATTTTCGGTTTCTTTTTTTTTTCTGTAGGAGTGTGTGCAGTGCACTGTCTGCTGGCCTGTGACAGGACATTCTACATTTTTTTCAATTTAGGTCATTTTAAAGTTCGACTTCAGCTCGCGCCGTCCACATGAAAAGATCTAGTGAGCATCTGTCCACATTGTTTATGAAAAGCCTGCATGTTCTGGGTTGTGTCAGCTGTGCTGTGGCTTATTTGCATGTCCTGAACATACAGAGAAAATTGCCTCTCGCTGTGAGGGGCCTTTGTGCACAACTCACCGGATGTGAGAAACGGTAAGAATCTTCACATAGGAGGTAGAAAGATACATTGGCCATCTTCACATAGTAGGCGGCAAGATACATTCTGCCACTATGTGAAGATGCACTAGCCATTTTTCACACTTGGTGAGGAGTGCAGTTACCATCTTCACCAAAATAGAACTCGCGGTCATTATCGCTGTATCTAAACCGAAAGTTGCCCCAATTACAGCTGTAATGACAGTGCGTTCTACTGGGGTTAATATGGTAGGGCCTATCTTAGTGTCCAGGGTCTGGTTATAACAATGGATTGATGGATGGACGGATGGACGGATGGACGGATGGACGGACCTATCTTAGTGTCCAGGGAATTCTTCCAAAAGTTATCTGGTCACAACCTTGGATGGATTCAAGTCTGTGATCTTCACTTACAACATCATTATCTACTGCAAGTCGTGACCTGTCCTTATGCTTATCTGCTGCAAGTTTGACGTGCCTTTTGTGAACTTCGAGGTTGATGATGGATTAGAGTTTGTATCTGTTGTTGCTCAGAGTTGCTCGTAGAAGTTATAAACCTGTTTTATTTTTCCTTCCAAGTGCGGATGGGTTCGGGCGCATTAGCCGTGGTATGACCGTGCCATAAAAAACTTGGACCATTTCTCGATTTATGCATGCCATCCTTGTGCAGGGCCCATGCTAACCTTCTCTGTATTGTTCCAACTTCAACGGATGTCCCGAAAGACTGAAAGTTATAAATTTGAAGTTGATGATGAATTAAGGTGTGCGTGCCTCTTCTGAAAACGAAGGGATGATGATGGATGTGGGTATGTTTGTGTCTTCTAAGGTGACTGATTTCCTGAGGTGCTTGGGCTGTTCTTGTAAACAACGTTGCCTTTTTTATTCTCTTTTCGTGCTGCAGGTGAGGTTGCAGCAAAACTACAGGTCGACAGGATGTATTGTTCAGGCTGCTAGTTGTCTGATTCATAACAATGTCCAGCGGTGCTGTTCAAAGGAGGTGTTTACGGAAAATGAACTTGGGCAGAAAATATCCTTCTTTGTTATTTACACGCCACTACTTGTGGCCTAGTGCAAGCGTTATGCTGCCTGTGCAATGATTATTCCGGATTTCTGGCAAATGTTCTGGACCACAGACTTCCTGTTTGGCAAGCAACAACTGCCCAAGCCACAAACACATCATGCGGGGTGATCTCGATACGATGGTTTAAGTGGCAATCATAGGCAATCTCTTCCTCTGGCGTTCAGATGGAGGAGAGAAAACCAATCCCAGCTCTTGCTTGTGAAATGCACTAGATTTTGTAGGAGTAAGGCTTGCTGCAGCAGAATGGAGCTTTTTTTTTTTTTTCTTTTGCGAGTACTGGGTCACTGGCAGAAACAATCAGGTAGAAAAATTGGGCCATTTGGCCCATTTACCGATTTCTGGTTGTCATCCTCAATGACCACATTCCAGTGATTCCTCTTTTTTTTTTTTTTTTTTTTCAACAACACACAAGCCCGTTCTATTCTGAGACTTCCCTCATCCTCTCTGAAGGCAGGGAGTCGATTGGGTGGGGGAATGAATTGGGGGTATCAAAATGGGGAGAATGTTTTTAGTTGCCGTTTCAAGACTGAATTGTCACATTCCTACGTATGTTTAAGATCTCCTTAATTGTTACTTCTTAGACACATTGATGTTGTCGAGTGCAGGAATGACGCAGCACAGTGTGCGTATGTGGTAGACCGCATTATTGTGGCAGCAAACACACAAGCGCGAGAAGAAGGCTCCACAAAACCTCCCTACGGTGCTTTTGCGATTTTGTATCGGAGGCAGGTTGGTTTGCAATCGTCCCTCACTTTTATTTTTCCATCCACACTCCCACACATTTAACACTGAATTCTGGCCATGCCCATACACCCCGTACACCCCGTACACCCCATACACCCCGTACACCATATACACCCCATACATCCCATACACCCCGTACACCCCATACACCCCATACACCCCGTACACCATATACACCCCATATACACCATACACCCCATACATACTTTGTCTACTTGCCACTTTTTCTCTTGCTCCTCATCTTTATGTTATGCAAGGAAAATGAGCAAGAGCGAAAGACAGGAAAGTTGAGGAAACCAAATTGCATCATCACATTGAAGACCAGATAGTCATGTACCAAGCGGAAAGCAGTATGCACTGAGATACAAGCCAAATAAGACCAAAGACTCATCAAAGCAATGAACTCATATGTCAATGTCAGCCCCAACTTGCCACCACCAACATTGTATCCAACGTTGCTCTTCTCATATGCCGCTCAGCGCCCAGACCACGATCTCACAGCACCTATGCTAGCCTAACACCTACGGCGATGCAACCAGGAAGCGCTGCAGCAGAAGACCATTGTACATGAAGTAGCCGCCATGCAGACCACCGCATACACGTCAGGTGTGTGTCTCTCTTCAGTCTCCACCTCAATCCCGACACCCCACAGTTAATCTCTCCCTGGGGATAATTGGTAGAAAGCGCCCACTCCAAAACCTTTTCAGTTTTGGGCGCCCAAAGGTAGGCCGTTTGGTGCTACCTGCCCAATGTTTTCCATGTGGGGTACCACAGGCCCACGCCTCGCTCCAAGCGCCCTACCAGATCATATAATCTGGTGCATAATGTAGAAGAGGCTGAGGGTGGTACCGCTGAAGTATAGAATGAGGCCCACATACAGTATTTTGAAAAAGAAGGGCCCTACCGGTTCATGAATCCGGTGCAAAAACCGCGCCAAATTCACGAACCGGTAAAAATAGGTCAAGGGAGCTGTGGCCACTGCGCGAAGACACCTTTCACCCAGGCTGAAGACGTTTGGGCCGGTAGTACCGAACAGCTGAACTTTGGGCGCCCAAGGTTTTGGCATGGGCGCTTTCTACCAATTATCCCCTCTCCCTGACCCAAGGAACCACCATCGCCCACCAGCCACCAGCGAGCCAGCCCGGCTATGGCTGCTCACGCGCTGCTGTCAGGCAGAGCCCACCTCCCAGCGCCCAGTGCAGCAGTGCTGTCGCCTGGAAGTGCATGGCCAGAATGTCTGACTGGCCGCTGGTCGCTCTCCTTTATGGAAAGTGAGACCGTGAGCTGGGGCCCAATAGCTTCTGGTCGGGCCTCTGATGCTGCGCCCCGGTCCCTGAGTCAGATTCAGGTGTGGGCCCTATTGTAACTGTGCGACGTGGCCTGAGGGCGGGAGATCTGAGTGGGAAGTCCTCGATTTCTGAATGGGATATCTTTGCTTTGGCCCAATTTCTTACTTGTATGTTGTGTCTAACTTGTGCTCGGCTGGTTGTATTCAATGTATTGTCATCTCCCCCTTTTTTTGGTAATTGTTGTGTGCGCCGACCACTCTGTTCATTTCTCTTTTCGTTTTTATTTGTTTTATGAACTTTTATCTCTTTCCTTTTTTGAAGTTTTTTCGTTCCTTTTTTTTTTTTTTGAACCATTTCTCTATTTATGTGTTCTGTATCGTTCCAATTTTAACGGTTGTCCCTCAGGGCGTTCGTTTTTTTGTTGTTATTTGAACTTTTTTGTTTTTTTTCAATTTTTTGTCGTTGTTATTTGAAATTATTTCCGGAGAAGTACCAATTCTCACAGCCGTTTTTGCATATCCCTGAAACTGATTATCTTTTCCTGTCAGTGATCTTATGAGTGCTTACTTTGAATTCAAATTTAAAATCATTCAATCTATTATAGGCTCGCGTGTATTACGTGTAATGAAGTAATAGTAATGTGTCCACGAACGGAAGAGAAGGGGGCACAAACAGGAAACAAGGAAGTACCAATAGAATGGGGGAAAGACGTCCAAAAAAGTTCAGATAGATTTATAGTACTTTTTATACAAACCAAGGGCAATGAGATGAGTTTACCCTCTACGGTGGCTGAATAGGTAAGCTTACCAATCTGCTATTTTCTGAGCTTTGGATGAAGACGTGATACATGTCAATCGTTGGCCCTTCTAGATGGTCCTTCATCGATGCTGGAGAGAGTGTTAAACATCTTTTTGTTGTCATCATGCAGTGTGCGTTTTGTGGGTTTGCTTGCAGAGTGACATGACTGGCTGGCAGGCTGGGCATATGGGCAACATCGGGCAGTGCACTTACTTTGCTTGCTTACAACATTGAATTGAAGACAGGTGACTGGAAAGCTGTTTCAAATCGAATTTCGCAAGCGTGGAATTCCTTTCAATGTTCATGGTGTTGCATTCTACCGCCGAAAGGTATTGCATACTCTTGCCTCCTGACTCTTCCAAGCCTTGACCGATGCATTTTTCTCTCTTGTCATCCTTGCGCAGGGGCCATGCTAATCTACTCTGTTGAGTCTGTACCGTTCCGATTTTAACAGATGTTCCCTCTCTTTTTCTTTTTCTTGTCTTTAGTGTGTCACAACTCTCATCCATGACCCCTTCTATTGTGATACACGCCACCTCCCCCCCCGGTCCCCCCCTGCCCCCTCCCTTCATCCTCTCCCAACCTGTGGCATACTGAGTATCCACACGGGCCTGCAGGGCCTGACCAGACGGAAAATAAGGGCCTTCCAGGCCCTGTGTAGTTTCAGCCTAAAAGCCTGAAAAAGAGGGCCATTTTCAGGTCCTCATAAAGTCGACCTTTACTGAAACTCAGGCGCCAGACCAGGGATCAGCACAGGCCACTTTTAGGCCTGTTTCAAGACAACCTTTGTTTGAACTTCAGCGCCAGGGTCTGGCACATTTCGGCATTGGCAGGAGCAGCCTACCGGCCGGACCAGCACTATATAGTACTGGTTCGCCCTGCAGGCTGCAGGTAGTTCACGGGGACTTCCCAGGCAGTTCACGGGGACTTCCCAGGCAGTTCACAGGCACTTCACGTGCGTGCAGGAGGCAGTCTTCAGGATTCGGCAGCAGCACTCTGCAGGAGCGCTGCAGTAGTAGTAGTAGCTAGCGTTAGGAGTAGTCTTCAGCGCTGGGCGGTACTAGAGCCTAGAGTAGCGTTGAGAGAGAGAGAGAGATGGCGGAGGCCAGGGGGACTTACCTGTGGCGCCATAGCTCCAGCTTTGTCTTCGATGTACCTTTACCAAGGCGCTGTCGGCGCGAATACCCTTACAAGGGTATCCGCCCTGGTTTTTGCAAGCGACAGAAACTAGGTTTGGCTTAAAGTTTAAGTATACCGCGCTAGGCGCGGCTGCGTCTGCGGTTTACGTTGACTGGGTGATTGACTAGAATAGAGAGTGCGTGGGAGCGCAGGTTTAAGGCGCGTGTGATTTATCCCCTGATGTTGCTTACGAAACCGGCGCGGGCGCCGGTCTGTTTATTTTTATTTTTATCTTTAAGTTTTTATTTTTGGTTACTCTTGATTAAACTAGGATCTAGGGGATATTTTCTTTCGATGGCTACGTTTGACCAAGTCGAGCGCGTGTGCGGAGAACGATCCCGACGGCGGCATCGGCAACGACGGCGCGACTTCGTGCGGTGAGCGGGGTGTCGTAGGATGGTGCGCGGGGCCATTATGGCATGGTATAAGCAAGCCGGCGCAGGCACTGGGAGCCGCACAGCCGGTTGTTGGCCCAAAGCGCCGCGCCGCACTGCCTTGTATGGTACTCTGCGGGCGCTGGTCTCAGGCTTGGGCATAGCCCTATAGGTTACGACAGCGGAGAGTTACTATGGAGGTTCGGGGATCGAGGCCAGCGGGCGTCGGCGCGGCGGCAGCGGAGTAGCGTGGAGCGAAAGCCTGAGGGGTTGAGGGCCCCGTGGGGCTATCCCCCTCGGTTCTGCTTATGGGTGCGGCGGCGGGCCCAATCCGCGGGGCTGGCAAGGTGCCGGCGGTCCCGCGGTTCCCCAACGTTACTGGTATTTTATTTTATTTCCCTTTTGTTTATTGTTATGGGTCCCCTTGCTACCACGTCCCGTCTTGGGACGCGGGACTGCGGTAGGAGCGTGTGGGGGTGTGTTGTATTTGCGGGGTCGCTTGAAGTGCAATTACAAGCTGTTCTGGAAGCTACGCCGGAGCCGCGCCCGACGCCGTTTTGCCTGGGCGAGGTGCCGTGGGTGTGGCAGGCACCCAAGAGCATAGCTCGGTGGGTACACCCCTGAACTGCTGAAACGCAGATCAAGGCGGACCCGGTATGAATCCGGGCTGGGCACGTGCACCGAGAGGAGAAGCGGAAGGGAGTGGGGGAAAGGCCGAGGCCGCGTGGCCTTTGGGGGAGCCGCGGGGCATCGCCCCGGCCACGTCCTTCGGGGCATCCGTTAAAATTGGAACGATACAGAGAAGAATAGCGTGGCCCTCGCGATGGGCCGACGCATATAAGACCCGGAAGCGCTCGATACCGTTTTTTTTTTTTTTTTCTGACTTTCGTCAGTTGCTCCCGATCGGTTGGTTGGGAGAGGAGGAGGCAGAGCTGCGAGAAGCAGCGTTTACACTTCGAGTGCAGTTGAAGAAAGCGGGGCAACAGGCAATGGGAGCAATGGGCGGCGACAGGGATGAATCCGGGCGCGTTTCGGCGTCGGATCCATTCGAGGAAGGGACTTGGAAACAGTGAGGCGGGGTAGTAGAAACGGCGGAGTGGAACCGGGCACTGGAGAGGGGCGGCGGAAGCCAGGCACAGACAGGGAGCGAGCGACCGGGAGACGGAGCAGCGGATGCCATAAGGTGGGGGGTGAACCCGGACCTGAAAGCGGGCCAGGTGCATACAAGGGAGGCAGCGGGAGAGCGCAGCAAGAGAGAGGGGCCAGGGAGTTGAGAGCGGCTGACTGCGCTGTGTGGGGGAGCCGGGCGCAGCAACGAGAGCTAGAGGAAAGCAGGGAAAGGGGTGAACGAATCTAGACGGGGGGGGGGCATGAGGTGCATTCGGAGACAGAGCCGGAGATGGCGATGGTAGGTAGGAGCGAAAACGTGTGCCCCGCTCGTTTCTTAGTGGAATCGAGCGGGAAAAAGGTCAAGACATAGGTTATTGGGTCCGGGGACTACGATGATGAACTCGGAGAGACGAGTAAGAGAGTGTGGGAGAAGATAATGCCGAAATGTGCCGCGCGGAGCTATGGCAGAGAAGGGAGATGATGGAAGCAAAAACGATGATATTTCTCGATTCCGCACGGAATCGAGTAAACTAAAGTGGTAGATAGGGGTTTTGGGGCGGCGCGAGTATGATGGCGGTGTTAGATTTGGAGGTTAGTGGTCAGATTTTGAGTTGTGTTAGTAAGGTGTTGCGTGAAAAAAGGGGGGGGGCGTTTCGAACTGGCATGTATAGTTCCGTGTTTTAGCAGAAGATTCGTTCGATTTTTGCTTGGTTCATTGACAGGAGTAACGAGAGGTAAGTGTGGGGTAGGGGACTTACCTGTTAGCGATGCATAGTAGAATCCGACGAAGGAAGTAGCCTCCCACTACCACTCTCCGTAGGCATGGCTGAACTGGCAGTGTGTGAATCTGCCCGGTATCTTGGCTAGGTGTGCTCGCATGTGAGAAGGGGAGGAGCGCGGACCTGGCGTGGTACGACTTTCTGCAGCGAGAAGGAACGAAAGGGGGGATTTTGGGGTTTTATGGCCGGATGCATCGGATAGAAGACAACTGTTAGAGAGGGGAGGGGGAGCACTTACCTTGCGATGCAGGCAGCCACGTGCAAGAGGAAGACTTATTTCGATTTCGCTCACTTGTAACCGAAGCGGTGAGAGCCTGAGAGGCAGCAATGAAGTTGGGGGCTTACCTGGTGGCCAGGGGGCCCCGCGCAGGGCAGATGGCTTCAGAGCCTGTGGGTGAATCTGAGATACACTCTCGTTCCGCACACCCGGTGAGGAGCCGAACCAGGTACTGGCGGACACGAGTATCAACACACACACGTGAAGCACGAACAGAGAGGAGGCCGTGCCCCCTGCAGTTGCTGATTGTTGCGGCGCCCATTGAAGATGCCATTGCTGAGCCTGTGGAGTTCGCGGGGCCACTTCTGTTTTGGCGGGCCACTGTTTGCTGAGCTATTGGTTGTTGGGTTGTGGGTGATGCGACGGTGCGGGCCGTTGCTTGCGGCACGTTGATTGTGCCTTGCTGCGCGTACTGTGCGTGAGCTACTTACCTCGTTGAAGCGGCGGAGACAGCCGGCCAGCTACGGAGGCTGCAGGTTTACCGGTGGGGCGACGTGCTGTTCAGACTGACAAGCGGAGTAGTGAGAGGACAGACTGGACTGCAAAGAGGGTTGCTGTTGACAGTGCACACACAGACTGTTGCCGCCGTTGTTGACTGTGCGTGAATGGCTGCTGCATACTGGGCGCGAAACTGCTGCTGCGTCCGTTGACTATGCGCGACCTGCTGCTGCCTTTGTTAACTGTATACAGACTGTTGTTAATTGCTGGGATGGTGATGTTGTTGCCCTTAGCCGTGTGCGGGCCTGTTAGCGGAGGCTGCTGCGGGTGGGCCTGATCGCCGTTGCTACTGCTGTTGATACCGTGAGTACGGCGGTTGTTTAGAGCCGTGTGATTGCGGCTCCACCGCAGGGGATGAAGGTGTGGAATAGAGGGAGTGATTGGGCTGTAAAGAGAGATAGTGTTGCGATCAGGGAGGGTGTTAGAAGGGCAGTATTTCGACAGTTTGACTTCGGGGGTTTGACCAAGCTGTTGCAAGTTGGCTGCCATTGCGGGGCCCTCAGGTGCGTCAAGGATTCAAGGCCCTCTCGTGCGAGTCTGAGAGCCCCCCTCTTGGATCTGAGAGTCTCAAATCCATCTACCTCTGCCCTTCTTATTCTAAGTCTAGTCTGTTGGTTCTGAGAGGAAGGCGGCAGGCGGGATTGCAACCCGTAATCCGCGCCAAGGCCTTTATGTGCAACCTCAATTTCGATTTTGTTGATTGCCAGAAGGCAGATTGTGAACAGAAAGGGGTTGCATCTGGGGAAAGGTTGGGTGAAAGGTGGTTTGGCCTGAGACTGACAAGGTCCTATGAGGTCAGGCATGCTCCATAAGATTGGACGGCCTGACCGCTGTGTTTATTTTTGAATTGCATGGAGAATCAGACCAGTTCCATAAGATTGGACGGTCTGATTGCTCTGGATTGTGAGGGTTTGACTGTGGCTGACTTTTCAGGGGCCAAACCTGTACCATAAGATTGGAGGGTTTGATTGCCATGTTTGGTTCGGGTTTTGGTCTGCTTCTTTTGTTGTTGGTCGAGGAGGTCTGGGCAAGTCCATAAGATTGGACGGCTCAGCCCGTTCCTGTTTCATTTTGAGGGAGCAATTCTCGCTGAGGGCAAGGCATGTCCATAA